GTGTCTTAAATAGATTTGAATCTTGCATATCCTAAATAATCAGTATATGAAACGTAAATAACGTAAATAAATTTAAGTTGTGGTGTATTTCACACATAACCCAAAGCTAACATTTGTATAGTTCTTCATTAAAAAAAAAAAAAAGAACAGAGAACAGCTCACTGCCGTCAAGTCGATTTGACTCATAGCGACCTCTCCTTGGATTGCCAGGTTGGTATCTTTAAAGAAGTAGATTGCCCGGTCTTCCTTCCAAGGATTGGCTGGTGGGTTTGAACCACCAGCCTTCTGGTTAGCAGATACCTTAGTCACTATGCCACCAAAGCTCCCTAGTTCTTCATACTACACATTTTCTTGTTAATTCTCCTAATACTCATCATAGTCTTCAGAAGTTAATACCGTTTTTTATGGCCTTTACAGATAAAAAAAATAGCAGAGAGGTTGTGACTTTTCCCAGTTCATGTTGCTAGTATTCAGTAGACTCAGGATTTGACTGCTTTTTTAGTCACAGTATATTATTGTTTTCTATGTTTTAAACACATAATATATATACTGCTTTATGCACCTTTAAATAATAACTAACACAAATAATCTTTCATGGTCACAGTTGCAAAGGAATGCAAGTTTGGTTTAAGGTTTAAAATCTTAAACCAAACTTGAATTCCTTTGCAACCGTGACCATGAAGGATATTTGTTTGTTTGTTTTAATCTTTTTTGTGTAATGTCTTTTTCAGGTTTGGTGTTAGGGTAATACTGAACTTATAAAATGATTTGGGAAGTAATACATCTTCTTTTTTCTGAATGATTATAAAATTCTTTTTATTTCTACCTTAAATGCTCATATAATTATCTAGTAAGGCCATCCAGGCCTGGAGTTTTCATAATGAGAAGGTTTGAAGGTTTTTTTTAATGAATTAATCTACTTTTTTCAGTAAATAATAGAGCTATTCATATTTCTTTTTCATTCTTGTGCTAATTTTGGGTAATGGAATTTTTCAAGTAACTTGTTCATTTTAGCTGTCAACTTTATTTATTTTTGTTAATGTATACTGGTATTTTCTGTTCTTTTTTTCTTAATCATTCTCATTAGGAATTTCCCCATTTTTGTTGATCTTTTTGAAGAACCAGTTTTTGGCTTTGTTAAGTTTTTCTGTTTGTTTTATGTTTTATTGATTTCATTATTGTTTTCTCCTGTCTGCTTACTTGGGGTTTACTTTGTGTTAGGCTGGGTTCTCTAGAGAAGCAAAACCAATAACACTTATATAGAGAGAGAAAGAGAGAGAGAGAGAGAAATTTATCTTAGGAAAATGGGTCACACAGTTATAGAAGCTGGCAAATCCCACATTCCTGGATCAAACGTCACGCTGGAGGCTTTTCCCAACTTGCTCAGCTCCAGGGGCTGACGAATCCAAGATTGGCAGGTAGTTACAATGGCTGTTGACTTGAGCAGATGACGAATCCAGGATCCACAGGCAGAAAGTGGATTGTTCACTCACACACAGTTATAGGCAGCACAACAGGATCTAGATCCATAGAACTTTCCCAGATTTTCCCAGGATATCATATATATATTAGAAGGAAGCCACTCCCCTAAGGAAACTGCCTTTCAACTGATTGTCTGCTCAAAGCATATGTATCAGATCTCATTATGGGAATAACCACATCACAACTGCTTAAACCACTCAGAATTGAGGTCCAGTCAAGTTCGCACACAATCCCAACTATCACAACTTCTATCATCTTTTTCTGCTTTCTTAGATCATTGACTATTACACATTTCTTCTTTTCCTATATCAACATTTGCAGCTATAAATTTCCCTCGAAGCACTTCTTTAGCTGCATCTCACAACATTTGTCATATTGTATTTTCATTATCATTTGGTTAAAAATATTTCTAATTTATCTTGTGCTGTTTCTTTGATTCATGAAGTATTTGGAAACAGGGTTAACTTCCAGATATTTAGGGTTTGTCATGATATCTTGCTACCAGTTTTTTACTAAATTCCATTGTGATTACAAAACGTATGAGGTATGATTTTAGTTCTTTTGTACTTGAGATTTGTTTTATACTTTAACATTTGGTCTCTCTGGAATGTACCATATGCACTAAGAAATAGTGTTTACGCTATAATTTATAGGGAGCTCTGGTAGCAGAGTGCCTAAGGCACTTGACTGCTAACCAGAAGGCTGGCGGTTCAAACCCACCAGCCACTCCTCAGAAGGAAGGTTGGGCAATCTACTTCTATAGTGATATCGCCTCGGCAACCCAAGGAGGGGTCGCTATGAGTCAGGTCCGACTCAATGGCACATAACAACAACAACAACAACATAGTTTATAGCTATACTGTTCTATCATTATCCATTAGGTCAATCAAGGTGATTGACAGTGTGCTGATCAGATCTATATCTTTACTGTTGTGGGTTTTTTTTTTTTTTTTTGAGGTGGAGGGTAGGGTGGTCTGGTTGTTCTAGCTTAAAAGAGCAATTTCTATTTGTTGCTGTTGTTAGCTGCCATTGAGTTGGCGCTGCCTTTTGGTGACCCCATGCATGGAATGACATGATTGGTTGCAAATTAGAACTGTTGAGATCCACAGGATTTTCATTGGTTATTTTTAAAAGTAGATCACCAGGCCTTTCTTCTTAAACTGAAACCCGTTCAGCGTCATAGCAACATGCACACCTCCACCAACCGAAAGGTGGTGGCTGTGCATGAGGTTCATTGGCTGAAAATCAAATCTGGGTCTCCTTTATAGAAGGTGAAAATTGTACCATAAGCCACCAAAGCCCCTAATTTCTGTTTATAACTATAGAAATAGAACTTTTTCTCTCATCAGTTCTGTCAGTTTTTGCTTTGTGTGTTTTGAAATTCTGTTATTAGTTGGATATATAATTGATTATGTTTTAAAGGATTGACCCATTTATCACTGTGAAATTTCCCTCTGATCTCTGGTAATGCTTTGTTTAAAACTTTATTTTATCTGATGTGACTATAACTATTTCAGCTTTCTTATACTTTCTGTATGCACAGTATATATTTTTCCATCCTTTTAATTTCAACCAATCTGTGTCTTTATATTTAAAGTGGATTTTCTTGTATACAGCATAGATTTGGGTTTTTTGTTTTGTTTGTAACTATTCTAGCAGTATTTTTGTTGTTTTATTTTACAGTATTTAGTCCATTAACATTTAATTATTGATATGGTTGGGCTGGATTTACTGTTTTTTATCTTTTTTTATTTGTCCTCTCTGATTATTATTTCTTTGTTCCTTTTCTCCTGCTGTGTTTAGCATTCAATCATTTTTTAAAATTTTTAAGTTTTTTAGCTGTATTTCCTTGATTGGTTGTTTTACTTTACTATACGTGCTTAATTTTCAGCATACTTTGTATCACATTCAAGTAAAATGTAGAAACTTTGCAACCGCGTAAAAACTAAGGTCTATTAGGACTCCTTGGAAAGTCCCTCGGTGGCACAAACCGTTTGCACATGACCACTAACTTAAAGGTTGGCTGTTAGAACCCACCCAGTGGTGCCACAGAAGAATCTCTGATTTGCTTCCATAAAGATTACAGTCAAGAAAACTTTATAGGACATTATATTCTACCTCTGATGGTATGGTGAGTTAGCATTAACTGCTAACCAGAAGGTCGGTGGTTCAAACCCGCCAGGTGCTCCATGGGAGGAAGATCAGGCGATATACTTCTGTAAAGATTTACAGCCTTGGAAACATAGTGGGGGTCACTGTGAGTTGGAATCAATTTGATGGGAGTGGGTTTGGTTTGGTTTTACTCTATAGCACATGGGAACACCATGAGTCAGAATTGACTCAGTGGCAGTAAGTTTGGTACTGCTTGGCACTCACTCTGCTCATACCAGAGATTAGATAAGAGTTTATACAGATAATTAAAGGCTCACCCTTTTTGGGATTTCCCACCTCATTTGCCAGCAGCTATACTTACCCCACTCCTTGTTTTCTGGTTCTTTGAGACAGTAATTCTGTTAAAACCAAACCTGATGCCATCAAGTTGATTCCAACTCATAATGGTCTTATAAGACAGAGAAGAACTGTTTCATAGGGTTTCCAATGTAGTAATTATTAAAGAAGCCAATTGCCACATCTTTCTCTTATATATCAGCTGGTGTGTTTGAACTACTGGCCTTTTGGTTAGCAGCCCAGGGCTAAACCACTGTGCCGCCAATGCTCCTCAAGCCAGTAATGCTAGGTTTTATAATGGAATTTTAGACATTCTACATGGTACAAAATGGGACTTTCCTCAGGCTAAAAGCTGTTAAAAAAAAACAAAAGGGAAGTGATGGGACTTACCTTATGTTGCTTCCTTTTTCCAAGTGACAGTTCTCCAGTATCTGCTTGCTTTTGCACTCTATGGTGTCTTTAGAGAGTTGTTTCTCATATTTAATGTGAAGTTTTTACTTGTAATCTATGAACATAACTCTTTGATAACTTAGTAGGCCTTAATGTTGGTTTGGATATGGAAGGATGAGTCCCAAGTCAAGAATGTTTGCTGCTTTTCCAAGCTTCTAGTTTTTTGAGTTAGTGATAAAACAGAAGATACAGGAGGAAGTAGATGTTTGCAGAAAAAAATTGTAAGTTTAGTTTTAAATATGTTTCCTGTCAGGTATATACATAGAGATTTTCAGTAGGCATTTTGAGCTAAGGAAAGGCTTGGGCCAGAATAATTTGGAGGCCATTAACAGAATGATTGGTAGTTTAAAACTATGGAAATGAATGTGTTTCCCAGGAAGAATATAGAGAGAGAAGAGAAATCTGTGTTGTTATGTATACAGTCCATTGGCATTACTTTTCTGTATTGGTACTGAATTCTAAAAAGTAAAGGTTAAAAATTTTAAATGCTTACAGTGTTTCATATACTCCACAGTTATAATGGGAATTATTTAGTGCCCCTCCCCAGCTGTATTATTTGATCATAGATTGTGTATGAAAATCTAAGCAGTGGTTTTTTTTTTTTGTTTTTTTTTTAATAGCTACCAGTGGACCTTCTAGCACACTTACTGCAAGTACCTCATCTCGGAAAAAGAACGTAACTAGCAAAACAGAACTGCATGAACACAAAAAAAACACGGGGAAGAAGAAATAATCTTCTAGTAGGAGCTAGAACTTCTTATACCAATGAAAATCACATGTTAAATTTAAAAAATGTATATATGTAATAAGCCTTGACTGAAAACTATTAAAGCAAGTAATGTACGTTTCTCTTTATACATCTCTGTCTTCACTTAAAAATGTTTGTAAGTCTAGATGATTCATTGTATATATTCAGGTAAGGAACCTATGTTTTGATCTGTTGTTATTGTCATTTGCCATTGAGTCAGGTCTGACTCATAGTGAGTCCTCCTTGGGTTTCCGAGGCGGTAACACTGTGGAAGTAGATTGCCCAGCCTTCCTTCTGAGGAGTGGCTGGTGGGTTTGAACCGCCAGCCTTCTGGTTAGCAGTCAAGTGCCTTAGGCACTACGCTACCAGGGCTCCCTATGTTTTGATCTAGGAACATTTAAAACCATGTTTATTAGCGTTTTGTGGGTAGCAAAACTTACAGTGATAAAGCTTTACTGATCTTAGTATCATGTTTACCATGTACCTTTGGTTAAGAAAAGAAACAAATGCTGTCAGGCCTGTACCAAAATCACACTAGTGATGTTACTTACTTGAAGGACTTGATGAGATGGCCCCTGCAGATACTTATTTTTTCTCCAGATTGCATCTTGGCTTTAAAAACCTTTGACTTAAAATGAAATTTGCCAGCATTTCATACTAGGAACTTTTTTTTTTTTAACTGCACTTCCAAAGAGATTTCATTGATCATTTAGATTAGAAACTTATTTCCCAATTATTAAAATGACATATATGCTTCAGTGTTTCATAACTGGAGAATTGTACATGATATTTTTTCAATCTGTGCTTGAATTTTTTTTATTTTGTGTTATTTAAAACATTACATTTACAGCTGGGATAAATAACTACATGTTTATGCACATAAATCTGTATATTAGTTTGTAGAAAATATTATATATTTCCTTACCATAGGAGGTGCTTTGAGTCATCAGGAAAACTTTGCTTCATATATCAGCTAGAATAGTATCTTTTGAGTTTCTTTTTAAGAGAGTTGACAAATTTGTAAATGTTAAACTTATTTTAGACTTATTTTTAGATCTAAGCAACTCAGTTCAAAAATGGAGGTCATTGATGTTAAAAGAATATCTGAATTCTGTAAAATGAGTAGTTGTGTTGTATGTCATTTGTTTCTACTATATCCATTCTTATCTGTAATACATCGGTTGATGTCACTGAGAATCTGACATTCGAAGATTGAGCATTTGAACTAAATGTTCTTTATAACTGATTAGATTTTTGAAAGGTAATTTAAATCAGTGTATTGTGATTTCATCTATGATGTGAAAACAAAATTACTATCTTTGGTGCTTTATTTCCTCTGACACACAAATAATTATGAACTACTTGAGATGACTTAAACTGTAAACCAAACAGTACAACCTGATGAGAATTCCATATATTGAAAGTTAGATAATTTTAATTGTTAAGGCTTTAGTTTGAAGCTTATATTTAGAAAAAGAAATTTATTGAATTCTCTTAGTATGAATATAACTATTGTAATTCTTCAGGAGACTCTACTAACCTTAAATTACTGTATATGAACTGACTTTTAGAAAATAAACATAGTATATGTTAGTTGTTTTAAAATGTACCAGATAAAAAAAAGCCACGAGTCTGTATAAGTACATAAGTTTTTATACGTCATCATATACTTCACATGAATGTAAATGTATTATATGGAAACATGTCTTGTAAGCAGTTCAGTATATCAAAGTTTTCTGTATGTGAAATTGTGGTTAATGTGTTCGTTGTGGGGGATGAGGAAACTTCTTTTGTTTTTTATGTAGGGCTGAATTAAAATACCAGTTTGTTTCTATATCTGAAAGTGACTTTAAGTGGTAAATTATTTACTTCTATTCTTTGGTTATCTTCTTTTAGCTCTCAAAGTAGAAAGAATGAGGGAAACAGTTTTAATATCAAACAATACTTATCTTAGATTTTAAATCAAATTATTATGGCCATACACATAGCATAATATTACTTTCCACAGCAATTAAGTACAGGTTACTAACAAGTATACTACACTCACTTCTTCCACTGTTATGCAGGACTGTGACTTCTCTACTCTCACTAAGCCCTATAGCATTGCTGGGAAGACTGGGCAGTCTTACTTGCAAGAATCTTAAAAGTTATTTTTAAGCACAAAGTCTTTTATTTCAGAACAAGAAATTATAATTGTCTGTATATAGGGCATGTTTGACTTAAGCATCTGTTTCTCACTTGAGTATGTTACCTGAGAAGTTGTGGGTTTGCACACAACTTAAATACTAGAAGATACTTCTTTTTGTATTCTGATGTTCCAGGCAGCAAAGAAGTAAGAAAGCCCAGCTTGAGAAGCTGTCCAATCATCCTGATATGTTAGTCTTCTTTGTGCAGTATTCTCTCTCTTCACCCTTGAAAAGCCTACAGCTGAGCTCTGACCTGTTTGCCCTTCAAGTCTAGTGCTTGTAGTAGATTCTGCTGCCCTGGTTCTAATGGGTTACGTAATCCGTTACCTTCCATGTAGCCGAGTCTTCATTCCAACAAATAGATTTTGGAATATTATACTAATCTTGTAGTATAATATTCCAAAATCTTGGGTTTTGGAATATTATACTAATCTTGTAGTATAATATTCCAAAATCTTGGGGAGCTCTGGTAGCATAGTGGCTAAAGCACTTGACTGCTAACCAGAAGGCTGGCGGTTCAAACCCACCAGCCACTCCTTGGAAGGAAGGTTGGGCAATCCTACTTCCATAGTGATACTGCCTCGGAAACCCAAGGAGAGGTCGCTATGAGTCGGGGTCGACTCGACGGCACATAACAACAACAACAACAATACTAATCTTGAGTTGAGGAGAAAGTGGTCTGAACATCTTAGTTCATACTGCCTCTGAGCAGGAGGAGATGGAGGCAGAGGGGAGACAAAAGGTGACAAAGAGCATGTGGCAGTGTGATTAGTACATAGAGCAAAAAGGCAGTAGATGACAATTATGAGAGAAAAATAGAGTGGAAGAAAAGACGCATAGGCCACATAGGAGTTCCCAAGGCCAAGAGAGTGTATGTAAGAAAAGCAATAACCAGATAAATGTCAATAACATAAAGAGAATTTTCTTTGGATCAAAAGCATCTCAGTGTGCTGGGAAGGAATATATTAAAAAAGACAGTTTCCTGGTGAATTTCTGAACTCCAAGGAAAAAAATACGAAGCTTCTAAAGAAACATCAGATTATGAACAAAATAAATAATTATATGGGTTTTAGAATTTTCAGATGATAATTGGTTCCATAGGAAGTAGGGGTGAGCCATGCATTTAGTTTCCTTTAGTCATAGTTTCCATTACCACAATTGTACATAAACTTGTGTGTGTATGTGTGTGTGTGGTTTCGGGCAAATGTTGCCCTTTTAACCTTGTTTGGTTGATTGTTGTAAGGAGCACACTCTTCTGGGTGTTACTACTTATTTTATATGCCCATCTATTAGTTGGCTAAAGGTGGCCTCCAAGAGTGTCTTCAGTTTCGAGTTAGAAGATGATACATTCGAGAGTTCTTCTGGTCTTTTTCAGACCAGTAAGTCCGGCCTTTTTTTCCCCCAATTTAAATTTTGTTCCACATTTTTTACCTGTTCTAACTGGAACCTTCTGTTGTCCTGGTCATAGTGGTCGGTTATGGTACTGGTATCCAGGCACTATCTAGTTCTGATCTCAGGTTAGAGGAAGCTGTGGTTCATGTGGGCAGTTAGTCTTTTGGATTAATTGCTTCCTTGACTGTTTGGGTGTTTTGTTTGTTTGTTTGTTTTTGTTTTTCCCGTTCTTCTTTGCTCCAGGCAGGAGACCAGTAGTGGCTTCTTAGATGGTGTGGTAGTTAAGCTTGTGTGTCGACTTGGCTGGGCCTGGTTGATTGGCTGAGCAGCTGGATGTAGTTATTTCCCATGGTGAGACTGGTAATTAACTCCATGGTGGAATCTCCTGGAGCAGCTGAGTAGCTGCTTTAGGGATGTGGGCTGCTTCCAGTATATAAGAAGCAACTTTAAGGAAGGTCTCTAGCTTTTTGGCACACTTGAAACTTCCATGTAGCCAAGTCTTCATTGAGCAGCCTGCCATGCTCTGTCAATCTTGGTACTTTTAATGGACTTGGATCAATGACCTTCTGTGTGGTTTGGTATATCAGGACTGTACCTTTTCACTTTTCGACCTTGGATTTGTCAGCTTCAGCTGCCTGAGTTGAGATGCCTCTAGCTTCAGTGGGCCAGGAACAAGAGGGAGAGCTGAAGCCCAAGGTTGAGGGGCTTTCATCCAGCCACTAGAGCCTGGTACTTTGAACTAGGACTTCTAGCTTCCATAATTGTAAAACAATAAACTACTATTTGTTCAAGCCATCCCGTTTGTGGTATATTCCTGGCAGAGTGGCACTAAGTAACCAAAGCAGATGGCCATTCGAAATCCTTTAAGACCCCAGACACTACTCTCCAGACTCGAATGTAGAACACTATACTTATGAACTGTGTTTTGCCAATTGACCTGGATGTCCTACAAGACTATGGTCCTTAGCCTTCAAGTCCAGTAGATGACATGTCTAAGTAGATGTGTAAGTAGTTTTCATAATTGTGTCCCTTATGTACGGTAGCGTAATGCCTAAGGCATTGGACTGCTAACCAGAAGGCTGGCGGTTCAAACCCACCAGCCACTCCTTAGAAGGAAGATGGGGCAATCTACTTCCATAGTGATACTGCCTCGGAAACCCAAGGAGGGGTCGCTATGAGTTGGGTCTGACTCGACGGCACATAACAACAACAACAATATAAAAACCAAACTCACTGCCGTCAAGTCGGATCCAACTCATAGCGACCCCTTCTTGGGTTTCCAAGGCAGTATCACTACGGAAGTATATGTGAGTATAAATGCAGCATTTACAAGTTTGTATGCAGAAATATCTACTACCATACCTACATATGTATGCAGGTATATGCCCGTGCTTCCCTCACCTATTGAGTGTATATATTTACCTATGTATCTACCCAAACTTATTGTTATTTCTG